CCCCCCCTCCCCCTTGGTGCAATTCCTTCTGGTCCTTTTTGGGTTTGGACCAAATTGGAGTTGTGCTGTGTATCCCAGGTGTGACATAAGCATTTAAACAGTGTATTATTTGGAGCATATTCCCAAGCCGTTACATATTTCTTTTCTAAAAATATTTTTATTGGCCTTAGGAATAGGTTCTGCTTTATGGATAGACCGTAAACCTAACTTTCATTGTTGGATATTTTATACTTTCCCTCTTTGGTGTTGTTAGTTCAAATCACACTGCAAGAGCCACCAGTGTCTACAATTCACCGTGTGGATCTTTGGGGATACATTTCAAGAGGTAACTCAAAGGTTATGAAACACATATGACTGCCAGTTCCTTTTGCCAGTTGCCCTCCTAGAAACGTAAGCACCTGCTCCTGGGTATTGCAGATGGTCACACCTGCTAATGGAAAGTTTGGGGGCGCTGTCTGCCTCTGAAAAAAATCACAGCCCTGCAGATCCTGTGGAGCAGTTCTACTCTGCATACAACATACATGAGGTTGTTGTATAGTGTTGTCTAGCGTACGTTGTGATTTGGAATCTTTGGTAGGAAATGACTGACAGCTGCTAGCATTGCCTGAGAGAGTCCATGTCCGTGAAATCTCACCTATGTTGGCGATTGTCATTTTGCCCCCTTGATGAAGAATTTGCATGCCGTTGATTACCAGTGAAGTCAACCTTCTTTCAGGGCTGATGGTCATTCTAGGTTTCTGTGAGTTAGTGATGGAGCCCTGGTGTCATAGTGGGTCACACAGGAGGCTACTAGCCCACCAGCTGATCCGAAGACGAGAGATGAGCTTTCTGCTTCTGTGAAGATGATAGCCTCCGAATTCCCCAGGGGCAGCTCCTCTGCCCTACCAGGGTCACTTCGAGTCAGAATGAACTCTAGGGCAGCAAGTTTGGCTTGTGGTTGGCCGATTTAGCTGTGTATGGGTCTGTGTCTTCTTCCTCAGGGAAGGGCTTTGTCTTCTCATCAAGAGTTCTTGTATGCTAAGAAGGCTCTGCCCCGTCGCAGTCCTTCACTGCAGCAGGGGGAGCTCTTCAGGCTAGTCTAGGCACTGCGCCCACTGTCCTCTTCATGAGACACACCTCCGTGACCATCGGTGAGCCCGGTGGCCCAGGGCAGCCCCTCTGCCCCTCTCGCTGTCTGCACGATGCTCCTGCCCGTGGAGTCGCAGCTGTCCTCAGAGCCAGTCGTGTTTGCTTCCAAGCCTCTTATTTCAGAAATACTTGTTTTAATGTAATTTCTTGGTTAATAGAAAGCCAACTAATTACAAGGGTGCAAAGAGTTGTTCTTATTAAAAATATATTTTAGAAAGACTCACTAAAGGCAGGTAGCTTTAAAAAAAGCCACTGAATTAGACATCAGCGAGACAGCTAGAAATGACGGGAAGGGATGTAAGCTCTCTGCACTGTTACTGCCCGTCGGATGGCTCTCGAGTCTCCTCTCCCAACCCCAAGGCCACTGAAGCTGGAAGCAGAGTGGTACATTTCCACACAGGGGAAAGGTAAACACCAGGTGGTTTGGGGTACCTTTTGTAGTCGTTGGAAGAGTTTGGGAGACTGTGTTTTAAAGTGAGAATTTCCCCTTCCCTTTTTAAGGTTTTAATTCTTAATGGTAGTTTTGGAGTAGATGTGCTGGGTCAGAAGAACTTTGGGGTGTATTACCATTATCACAGATTCTGGAGAGTTTGCACCTGCTTCAAGGAACTATTGTGCTCCCTGGAGAACAGTATTCACCCAGTCACAATGTAAGAGCAGAGCTGATTGCTGATTTTTAACTTCTAGAATCTACCTGTTTACAAGGAGTGGAAGACTTTGTTACTGTTACAGAATAGCAATAAGTGTTGCTCATTTTTACAAGCTAATAGAAAAGAAAAAGAGAGCCTATTTGGGAGGCAGTGTGGGAATAAGAAAGCTGGAAGGAAGAATGGGATGTTGATGCCCTTTATCTTGTAAAGTCAGCTGTTAATACCAAGTGTGCCTGTACTTTTGGTGGAGCAGGAAATAAAGGTGTTAAGTCTGTTACTGTGCTTCACTTTATTGCGCTGGGCAGATGCAGCATTTTTCACACTTGAAGGTTTGTGGCAACCCTGTGTGGATCAATTCTGTGTGGATCAATTCTGTGGCACCATTTTCCCAACAGCATTTGCCCACTTGGTGTCTCGGTGTCACACGTTGGGAATTCTCACAATATGTCAAACCTCTTCATAATGTTACTAAACACTCAATGGACGACCTTGTAGTGTAAGCAGAACTTTTATATGCACTGGGAAACATATATTTGCTTTATTCTGGTGGTCCAGAACTGAGCCAACAAAGATCTCTCCATGTGTGCCCACATTTAAATTGACAAAGGTATTGAGTTGAGGATGGCAAGTAGGGGTGTGGGGGGTGGGGTGGGGGGACGGGGAGAGTGACCTCTCTAGCGAGATGGTGGTGATCATAGAAAAAAGGTAGAAGTGGCCCCTGAGGGATAGAAAAATCTTGTTTTTTAAACTACAAGCTCTTTTAATTTTATGAATATATTAACTCTGATACATTTAAAAATGTTTAAAGCAAGACATTTCTACTTCATAGGATAGCATCAAGAATGTGTTGTGTCAGGAGCGGTCTAGTCGGTTCCAGCCCATAGCGGCCCTCTGTACAACAACAGAGCAAAACACCCCAGTCCCGTGGTAACCTCACAGTCATGGCAGCCACTGTGTCAGTGCATCTTGTTGAGGACGCTCCACTTTTCCAAACATGATGTCCTTCTCCAGGGACTGGACTTGCCCGAGAGATAACATGTCCAAAGTACAGTGCGACAAAGTCTCACCATCCTCACTGCTGAGAAGATTCTGACTCTGCTTCTTCTAAGACATATCTGTTGGTTCTTTTGATCATAGCCCATGATACTTTCAGTACTCTTCCCCAGCACCGTCATGCAGATGCACCGAGCCTTGTTCTGTCCTCCTGATTCAGTGTTCAACTTTCACGTGCATATGAGGCGATCGAGCACCGTAGCTCTCAAAGTGACATCCTTGCTTTGTTTATGCAAAGGTATATGAGGATGGACGACTGTCAAGCTTGCCATAACATGTTTGGCATCAGCCAAATGTGTGTACATCAACAACCCCATATTAATAGAGTTCAGAAATCCCAACCAGAGAATGGGACGTAGTGAATGCAACAACTTTATATATAACGCTATTATGCTTCCAGACACATAGATAAGCTATAATCTATATGTCTGAACAGTCATAATAAATGCTTATCTTGCTGACTTATGTACTGCACTGCTGGGTGACCATGTAGTCTCCTGCAGGGTTCTCTCTCTGTTTAATTTTCGTGTGAAAATATTACCTTGAAGTGCATCATGGCTCTCAAATGCAGCAAAACCAGTACTCGTGATAGAAGCGGCAAGAGGTGAAAGAGAAATTGATTTGGAAGTGAAACAAACGGTTATTTAAACAGCACAAAGGCAGAAAATCAGTTATTGTTATTGCTCACGTTTGAGAGATGTCACATCCAATAATCACCATGATCCTCAAAATTAAAAAAAATTTTTTTTAATCTCCAAACGGTTAAACAATTAGCTCTACTGAAAAACACGACACTAATAAAGACGGGAGCGGGACCCACATCAGAAGATGTAGAGAAACTCCTAATGCTGTGGACTGAGGACCAGCACAAGCGTGCAGCTCCCTTTGGTTTGACAGCCACTGCTCAGGCACACAGCTTGTCCAAGCAACGTACAGGAAAAGGCGGCCAGACGAGGATGTGGTGTCCACACCGCGTTCAAACCACACAGCTTCCTGTCTCACAGAAGATGTATCATGGACATGAAGTGATGCAGGGCTGTGTTTCCTTTCATGACTTAAATGCATTTTGAATAGTGACTTTTAAAAGTTTAAACTACTTGGGAAAGGTGGTTACCATCTTGGAATGAAACCACATAATTTCTACAAGATTTGGTAAAGGAACAATTCAGTTTTTAAAACGGCTTAGCTTCATAAATTGTGTACATATATTTTAAAGTGAGAAATTATAAATATATAAGGTGGAAACGGCTTTGTTTGCTCCTGAGCATACAACTAATTTGTTTTTGTTTTCCAATTCTCCTCCCCCTCCCCCCCATCCCTTTCTCTTTCAGAAGCCCTTCAGAGGCCAGTAGCATCTGACTTTGAGCCCCAAGGTCTGAGCGAAGCAGCTCGTTGGAACTCCAAGGAGAACCTTCTTGCCGGCCCCAGTGAAAATGACCCCAACCTTTTCGTTGCACTCTATGATTTTGTGGCCAGTGGGGATAACACTCTCAGCATAACTAAAGGTAAAGGGCTGTGGGCGGCTGGTAGTGGTTGCAAGGAGGGGTTGTGGCTTGGCTGGCCACCCCTTGGCCAATTGAAAGGGAAGCTTTCAAGTTTGGAATGACATCTTTGTAAGAGAGTCACTTCTCCTTAAGGAGAGGAATTTCTGGATGTAGTTCTTAGCACAAACAGCTTTCCTTCGTTTTTCCACTGGAAAGACACTTGGGCCAGATAGGGAAATGCCTTCCCCATCCTAGAAGTCAGCACAATAGATTTATAAAAACTGGGGCTATATATTTATCTGTATAGTCAGTATAACCAGGAAGATTTCTTCTGTGGACCTGCCCTTTTATACACTTAAAAATACATACAATTATCTGGATTTGTTCAATGGCATAGGTATTTTAGGAGTTTGGAGATTTTTAATAATCATCTGAGAATTAATGAGGGTGGACTAAATCTTTGAAAACCACCTTGTCTTCTCTCCAAGGTGAAAAGCTCCGGGTCTTAGGCTACAATCACAATGGTGAATGGTGCGAAGCCCAAACCAAAAATGGCCAAGGGTGGGTTCCAAGCAACTACATCACTCCTGTCAACAGTCTGGAGAAGCACTCCTGGTACCACGGGCCTGTGTCACGCAATGCTGCGGAGTACCTGCTGAGCAGCGGCATCAATGGCAGCTTCCTGGTGCGGGAGAGCGAGAGCAGCCCAGGCCAGCGGTCCATCTCCCTGAGATACGAAGGAAGGGTGTACCACTACAGGATCAACACTGCCTCTGATGGCAAGGTAGGGAAGCCTAGAGAAAGAGGTGGGAGGGGTTACCGGGTGAACCCCGCTTGGTTAATTGTTGCAACCAAACACAACCAAGATGCTTGAGCAAGAGCCTGGCCATTAGCCTTAGGAAATGTCCTCTACTAGTACCACACAGGTGACTGTCACCAGTCCGTGGGCTGTGTGATCCTTTTATTGCCTTGTTGGCAGTTTCTTAGAATAGGTGGGGGATCTTTTGGGTTTGGGATATGCTTTTTACATTAAGATTTTGCCTTTTTTTTAAAATCATTTTACTGGGGCCTCATACAGCTCTTATCACAATCCAGACATGCATCCATTGTGTCAAGCACATTTGTGCATTTGTTGCCATCATCATTTTGAAAACATTTTCTTTCTACTTCAGCCCTTGGTATCAGCTCCTCATTTTCCCCCCTCACTCCACCACCCTCCCTCCATCACAAGCTCTTTCTTATTTATTTATAAATTATTATTTTTTATGTCTTACACTGACCGATTTCTCCCTTCTCCCACTTTTCTGTTGTCCATCCCCCAGGGAGGGGGTTAAATGTAGATCATTGTGATTGGTTCCCCCTTTTCTACCCCACCTTCCCCGTCCCCTCCTGGTATCTCTGCTCTCATTGGTCCTGAGGGGTTTATCTGTCCCGGATTCCCTGTGTTTCCAGGTCTTATCTGTACCCATGTACATGCTCTGGTTTAGCTGGATTTGTAAGGTAGAATTGGGATTATTATAGTGGGCGGGGTGGAGGGGGAGGAAGCATTAAAGGACTAGAGGAAAGTTTTATGTTCCATCAGTGCTGTACTGCACCCTGACTGGATTGTCTCTTCTTTGTGATCCTTCTGTAAGGGGATGGCCAATTGTCTACAGATGGGCTTTGGGTCTCCATTCTACATTCTCCCTCATTCACAATGAAAAGATTGTTTGTTCTGGGTCTTTGATGCCTGATACCTGATTCCATCGATACTTCATGATCACACAGGCTGATGTGCTTCTTCCATGTAGACTTTGTTGCTTCTCAGCTTGATGGTTTGTCTTCAAGCCTTTAAGACCCCAGACGCTGTCTCTTTTGATAGCCAGGCACTGTCAGTTTTCTTCCCACCACATTTGCTATGCACCCATTTTGTCTTCAGCGGTTGTGTTGGGAAGGTGAGCATCACGGAATGCCAGGTCATAAAAATAAAGTGTTCTTGCGTTGAGGGAGTACTTGAGTAGAGGCCCAATGTCCATCTGTTACCTTGATACTTAACATATAAATATATGTACATAGATCTGTTTCCCTATCGTTATCTATATATTACCATATGTATGTGCCTATATTTAGACCTCTATCAATGCCCTTTGCCTCCTAGTTCTTCCTTCTATTTCTTCCCTCTTGTCCCACTAACATGTTTGGCTTTCATTCCGGTTTCAGTAATTCCTCTCAGTTACATTGCCCTTGTAGATCAATTTTTTTTTTGTAGATCAATATTTTAAAGCACTTCCTCACAGTAAAATATGGTATATGATTTTCTCCCTGTAGAAAAAGTCACCTTTGTGTTTATGTATATTTACATTCATATACAGTTTAAAACTAAAACTCAGGTCACATTCACCCATAGACTCTTAAATGAAAGTTGGAGTTTTGTAAAGGAGTTGACATTTATTTATTGTGGTTTTGTGATCGTACTGTAAACAGTCTCTTAAGAGTCCAGGCAGGGAAGGATGGAGTGAACATTGAGCTCCTGTTGTGTACCTGGGGCGTGTCTACAATTCAGTGTGGTGACTCCATCCAAAGTGGGCAGTGCCGCCTCCTAGCGGGCGCTGGGATGATCCAGCGGGCCTGTAAAAGCAGCTGGTGCTTACACTGTATCCCCTTTCGAGGGCTGTCGCACAAAAGGGGTAAATTCTAGGGTGGCACGGAGTAATTTTTCCCCTTGAAAGGTGTGTGTGTGGGGTGTTCAATAAATTTGGGGACCTCTGAGCTGCATTAATGAATTTGAGCCTTAGAAGAGTGATGTTTCTTGCCCAAAGTCCCATAGTAACCGATGGAACTAAACCTGGATCTCACTCCGTTCTGTGTCACCACGCTGTAGTTACGGGTGTAGATATGGGCAGTGGGAGAAATCTATGCCAATTCCTTTTTTAATATGTCACACATGCAGATGGGTCTTTTTGTTATTGTTTTAAATCAGAACAAAATAATTCCAGTGAAAAGTGATTTTTGTCCCGATAGTTTCCCAGCCCAGAGGTAACCAGTGTTACCCATTTGTTCCAGAGTTACCCATGTATATATGTTTGCTTATATTACAAATGATGTGTTCTCTATACACACTGTTCTGCATCGTTTTTTTCCCCATTGAATAATATATTTTGGAGGCAGAACATCTAGAGCTGCCTCATTCTTATTAATCACTGCACAGTATGGCTGACTGCATAGTGTGGCTGGACCATCATTTATTAACCAGTCCCCTAATAGATGACTGTTAGGCGGTAACCAATCTTTTGCTATTGTAAATCATGCTGTTAGGAAGTAGCTTTGAAATCTTTTTTTGTTTTTTTATCTCAGCCCACTGCAAGAAAAAACTGTTTTTTTCTTGCCACCTAATGAATCACACAGTGGCAGAAGTTTCATGAAACTATCCTTCCCTTATTTCATGCAGTGTGCTCAGATACTTTCGTGTCTCATTCTGTTCCCCTTTCATTAAGAAATCCTGGTCAGAACTCGCTCATGTCACGTGATGGAGTCACTCATAACTTAAGACAGGCCCCCAGGCTTCTTTGTCCGTGTCGTGTCCACAGGGTAAATGTCTCCATTGTCATCGCTGGGTTGAGCGTGATGCGCAGTTAAAATCTGTAAACACTGCACACTTACACCCCCATCAAAAACATGAGAGTAGCGGTTTGCCCTCGGCCCATCAACCGACTTTCAAAACATCTCTATCCATCAGTGGGTAAGGAAAGAAATCTCGTTGGATTTAATGTGCATGTGTTATATTTTGAGTTATCCCGCTGCCATTTTTTAATGTATCTTATATATTTGAAATACACCAAATCCTCTCATGGACTTCAGTCTGTTTTCTTCCATTGCATTGGGTCTGTTTTGTCCATTGATCTGTAGTCGTATGGCAACACCAAACTTAATTGCTGTAGCTTTCTAATATATTTTAATATGTGGCAGGGCTAATTCCTTTTTCTTAAACTTTTTAGCATTTCCCTGGCTGTTATTAACACATTTATTTTTACCTTGTGCACATACATACAGCTCCTTTTAAAGATAGGCTTACCTGGTGTTTTCTTCACTTCTCACCATCTCCTGAGTAAAACCCTTGTTCCCAGTATGTGATGCTTTCTATCATTGCGTATGACCTTAGCACCAGCATTGCCATTCTTCAACAGACAGCACAGTGTGTTCTTGACATGTGACTAGAGATCATTCTTAGCATTCATTGTTCTTATCTCAAATGTTGAGCTAGGTTGTTCTGTCTTATAGAATGCACTCTAGGGTGATGGGGCCTTTTGAAAATCTTCGGACAACAAGAGAGTCAACTCCAACGGATACCCCTCTTGGGGGGAGGTAATTTTCTGTAACTGACAGCTTGCTTCCCACCTGTGCAATATTTTAAAAATCATTTTATTGGGGGCTCATGCAACTCTTACCACAATCCATACATACATCAATTGTGTAAAGCACATTTGTACATTCGTTACCCTCATCATTCTCAAAACATTTGCTCCCTACTTAAGCCCCTGGCATCAGCTCCTCATTTTTCCACCTCTCCCCCCTTCCTCATGAACCCTTGATAATTTATAAATTATTATCTTGTCATATCTTACACTGTCTGGAGTCTCCCTTTACCCACTTTTCTGTTGTCTGTCCCCAAGGGAGGAGGTTATATGTAGATCCTTGTAATCGGTTCCCCCTTTCCACACAACCCTCTCTCTACCCTACTGGTATCGCCACTCTCACCACTGGTCCTGAAGGGATCATCTGCCCTAGATTCCCTGTGTTTTCAGTTCCTGTCTGTACCAGTATACATCCTCTGGTCTAGCCAGATTTGAAAGGTAGAATTGGGATCATGATAATGGGGGGACAGGGGGATCATTTAGGAACTAGAGGAAAATGTATGTTTCATCGTTGCCACACTGCATCCTGACTGGCTTGTCTCTTCCGTGTGACCCATAAGGGGATGTCT